CGCCCGAATTGCAGCATGGCGCCAGTTGTCCAAAATCCTACGGTACCAAAGGAGGGGTTTGGAAAAAGGGTGCCAGGCCGAAAACGGGATGCAGCCGAAACAGCAAAAGATAGACCAGGGATCGAGCCCTGGTGAAGTCCGTAACACGTAGACCCTCTTCCAATTTCTGAAGTGTCTATCTAAATCCTGCTAAAACTTCAGGAAATCTACTTTACACCACTTACTTTATTGGTTTCTGGTTTCAAGTCTTATTTTTTTTATTGGTGGCCATGATTGGACCTATAGTACCTACCAGGAAACCGGGTCCAGTGTCGCTCTTAGCCTTTATCCCGCTGAGACCAGGCGCATGTGCTTCCTTAATCTTAGTGCTATGCTGGAAACCGGGTTCAGAGCCCCTCAACCTTGTTCCTATACCAACTTAACGGTACTTTGCAACTCGGCTGATACCTGGCTCCTACGCCGTCTAATTTGAAAATTTCTAGGACGATCTTAGACAGCCTAGTCTCGAAGCGCCGTAAGGTTGGTATAGGAACCAGGTGGAGTGATGCTGGACCCAGTTTCCAGCATAGCCCGAAGCTAAGAAAGCACTGGCGCCTGGGCTCAGCAAGATAAGGGATAAAAGGGACACTGGACATGTATTACGGCAGGATGTAGATAGACAACTCAGAAAATTGGAACAGTGTGAGCCTTTTTTTACCAGGGGCAGAGCTGTGGTACATGCTTCCTCTGGTAAGGAAGTAAGTAATCAATGATGTTGTCTCAGGTTCCTTCATCCATAATGGAAGGACAAGTGGCGTGGGTAATTGATGTTTAAGGGGCAATGGACCTGGTTTCCAGCGTATATAATACTCCTTGAGTCCTCGGGCATTTAACTTTGACGTTCCTGGCCGCAATTTCGGCATTTTGTGAACCGAAATTGTCAGCTCCTACAAGCAGGGAACCCGGTAAGCCCTGATGATTTCGGTTTTGAAAAAGGACAAAATTGCGACCAGGAACGCCAAAGCTAAATGCCCAAAAAGGGCCAAAGGGCTAAAAGCTACATTTCCATCCACCCCCCAACCTCCCACACAACCCAAAAATAGAAAACAAGTTACAGCTAACACACAGCTCTTGCCTTCCTCTGGTGAAGAAAGAAACATACTACGTAGTACGTAGCAATAACCAGTTCCATGCACCCAGAGAGTAAGGGCTACTGTAGAGGCAAGTCAGTGAGGAGCTGTTGTATTAGGAATCACAAGCAAAATGAAGAATTAGAGCTCATCAGCTAGCCTTTACCCATTGTCCTCAGACTCCTCACCCTACCCTCAGTGTAGAAAAGTTCAGACCGGAAGAAGGGTGATGTCATGAGCTTAGGCATCAGGCATGCCAGATAAGTGGGTCATGATGTAAGCATAGCAACCAGTTGAGATTTGAGACTCTGGCACAAACAGTTGGCAACCCAACGTACTTGGTGACATGAAGGCTTGCAATAAGCTGACAGATCTGATATCTTCTGCCCATTTCGTTCCTCCTCCTCATCCGCCTCCTCAATTTCCTGCTTGCTTTCATGCTTCCGAAGTTGTGGAATCTTGTAAGGCATACCATTTCCTAAAGGGGAAACCCATTTCGCTTGGTAGTCAGGTAAGGAGGGCAGTCTGGGAGGTGGGCAGGGAGCCACTCAGGGCGGTAGGCAGGGAGGTAGGTGGGTGGGTGGGTAGGTAGGTGAGTAGGTAGGTAGGTACGTAGGTACGTAGGTATGTAGGTCAGTGGTATGTAGGTATGTAGGTAGGTAGGGAAGCGGATAGGTGGGCCGGTCGATACGTGGCTAGGTGGAACGGGAGGCAGGTTGGTGGGGAGGCAGGGGCTAGATAGGTGGGGAGGTAGGTGGGGAGGTAGGTAGGTGGGGAGGTAGGTAGGTAGATAGGCAGGTGGGTACGTAGGTCCGTAGGTAGATAGGTAGATGGTAAGGTAGATAGGTAGGTTGGTGGGTAGGTAGGTAGGTAGGCAGGTAGGTAGTGGGGCAGATCGGTAGGTAGGTGGGTAGGTGGGTAGGTAGGTGTGTACATATACTTATGTGCAGATGTGCATGTTACCTAGTACAGGTTCGGGTTTGGTAGAGCAACAAAACAAAATCACAAGATTTTTTGGTGGACCTTAACTTACTCTGACCCAAAATGGTGAGCAGTCAAAATCTGTGAGTCCCCATTTGTGCATATTGATGTTGAAAGAATTCGCCCGCTCAATGCCATTGAGAAAATGCCTGTATTCTGGGCATATGCAGGCAGGCCCTGCATAAGCAGCATCAACATGCAGCCAAATCCCATGTTCCTGTACTTCTCATACCAATATATACATACAACAACGAAAGGAATGTACAAAATAGACATAACTAGTGAGACATTCAGAAATTAAGAGACTCCTTTTTCTGAAGGTTTTCTAATGATACGTCGTATCCATTGATGATGATCAGACAACGCTAAAGCACAGCACCTGGTCACAATGTTGCCAAAATCCATTGATGATGATCAGACAAGGCTAAAGCACAACATTGACCCGACAAGACCCGATATCGAACATCAAAGTTAATCAATCAAACAAAATGTTTAAGTTTAACAAACAATGACCTGACAAGACCCGCGTTTCCAGCCTTTAGGGCTTCTAGAGTAGGAGGCGGATGGTAAGGGACGCTGACTGCTCGCTCGCTCCCCCGTGTGCCTGGGGGCCGGCTTCCCAGCACAAGCTACTTCCCACGAGTGGATGGATGAAGCATATATAGTTTAAGGAAAGAAGTGTTTTGGGAGGCGGACAAGGAGACGGAAGGAAATTCCACAACTTCCGCAGCTGCCCCCCAGTGGCTCCAGGCTACTGTTTCTGGGCCTGGCCAAGGGTTGGGAGTCTTGGGACTCGGGAGGAAAAGTATAGGGGCTGTTAACTTTTGTAGTACGATCTGGCATCTGGCAAGATGGATGAAGAAGAAGGCAGACCTCTGGTTTTGAATTAGCTAGATCAAGGAATGGGACGCTGGACCTGGTTTCCAGCACAGGTGATTTCTCTGCTTGTTTCACACTCATCTGTACATTTTAGATGTAACAAGTGGACCTCCGGCAGCTACGCTGCGGCGAAGGACGATGACAAAAACATTTCGCAAAACACCCCAGACATCGTTCAGGGACATTTTAACATATATCTCACCTTATGGGGGCATTTGGCAAATTACCCCCCCCCCCCCCCCCC